CCCCCCAGCCCCATCCCCATCCCCATCCCCATCCCCACACTCACCCGCTGCTCCTCCAGCCGTGGCCGCTCCTCCTCCTCCTCCTCCTCCTCCTCCTCCTCCGTTGCCCCCCTGTCCCGGGGGGCTCCCGGGCGCTGCGGCCGCCCCCGTCCCCGTCCCACCCCCTCCCGCGGGCGGGGCGGGCGCGGGGGGTGCGGGGGCTCCGTTTTGGGGCGCTGCCCCCCCCTCGCCGGCCTTGCCCCCCTCGGGGAGGGCGATGGAGATGAGGGAGAGGAGGCGCAGCAGCTTCTCGGTGAGGAGGGGGCTGCGGCGGATGACGCCGTGGGACAGCATGTTCATCAGCTGCCCCAGCGGCGACGCCTCCAGGCCCCCCCCGGCCGCCTCGGGCTCGGGGCCGCCCCCGCCGCCCCCCGCCCGCGCTGACCCCTTCCCCTTCCGGCTCACGTTCATGTTGTCCAGCTTGACCAGCAGGTCCCAAAAATCGGTGGACAGCGAGCCGGATTGGGACTGGGGGGGCAGGGCTGGGGAGGGGGCGCCGGTGGGGGGGGGAGGGGGTGGGGGTGCCGGTGGGGTTTGGGGGGGTGGGGGAGGGCAAGGGCTGCCCCCGGATTTGGGGGGGCCGCGGTCGCGCTCCGGGTCGGCGGCGGGGTCTCGGCCTCGTTGTTGGGTGAAGTGGCTGGGGAAGACCTGGGGGGGAACGGGGGGGTGCTGAAGACACCAAGACCACCCCCAAAACCACCCCAGAGCCCCCCACCCCAGCGGGCCTCAGTCACCCCCAGGCCCCACACAGGTTTTGGGGATCCCCCCTGTCAGATGATGCTCCCTGTGCCACTGGGAGGGACCCCAAATTTGGGGAGAGACCCCCCAGTTGTGCCCCCCAGGTGTGGGGGCCTCAGCTTTTCTATGGAATGTTCCAGTGCCCCCCACAGCTTTCTCAAGTGACCCCCAGAGGCCCCCAGCTACCCCTTAACGTGCCCTGGTGCACCCCAAAATGTCCCAGTGCCCCCAAAAAAAACTTAAGGAACCTCCCAGAAACTCAATACCAAGCTCTAATGTTCCCCAATTTACCCAAAAATCCCAAAACCACCCCTTAACGTGCCAAAAAACCCCCGAGAAATCTCCCAAAAACCCGGTAACATTCCCCAATTTCCCAAATTTCCCCTGGAGATCCCCAAACCACCCCTTAATGTGCCTAAAAACCTTCAAGGAACATCCCAAAAACCTGGTAACGTTCCCCAGTTTCCCAAATTTCCCCTGGAGATGCCCAAACCACCCCTTAACGTGCCAAAAAACCCCCAAGGAACATCCCAAAAACCCGGTAACGTTCCCCAGTTTCCCAGATTTCCCCTGGAGATCCCCAAACCACCTATTAATGTGCCAAAAAACCTTCAAGGAACATCTCAGATACCAAATAACATTCCCCAATATTCCAAATTTCCCCTGGAGATGCCCAAACCACCCCTTAACGTGCCAAAAAACCTCCAAGGAACATCCCAAAAACCCGGTAACGTTCCCCAGTTCCCCCCAAAGAACCCCAAACGTGCTCCAGCACCCCCGGAACACCCCCGGCAGCGACCCCACCTTGGCCAGCTGGATGAGGGTGTCCAGCACGTGCCGGCACACCACGGGCGCGGCCTGGGGGTGGATGTGCACGGCGGAGCCGGCGGCCGCCGCGTGCTTCTCGGTGTGCTTGCGGCCAGGCACGCGCTGGATCTGGAAGATGTTGGTCCTGCAGCCCAGGGCGGCGTCCATGGACACGGAGAGCCAGGAGAGCTGCCCGGAGCTGCGCGACTCCATGCGGTGCAGCAGGTCCAGCCCGCGCGGCTCCGCGGCCGAGCCGGGCCCGGCGCGGCTGCCGCCGGCGCGGCCGCGCGGCCGCTCCTCGGCGCCCGGCGCGGGGGTCCCGCGGGGGGTCTCGAGGCACAGCTCGCTCTCGCTGCTGCGCTGCAGGATGGACAGCAGGCTGCGGACCACCCAGCCCCGCGTGGGAGCGTGGTAGCAGAGGTTGCGCAGGACGCGGTGCAGGCGGCTCGTGTTCAGCTTGGGCTCGTCCACGAAGAGCAGCACCAGCAGGCAGGACAGAGCCTCGTGGTCCAGCAGCAGCCGCCCGCGCAGGCGCAGCAGGCTGTCCACGCTGCTGCCCGCCGGCCTGGGGACGTGGGACAGCCAGGAGTGAGCCGGAGGGACCCAGAACAGACCCCAGAGTGACCCAAATCAGACCTTAGAGTGACCCAAATCAGACCCCAGAGTGACCCAAAAGAGACCCCACAGTGACCCAAAAGAGACCCCAGAGTGACCCAGAACAGACTCCAGAGTGACCCAAAAGAGACCCCAGAGTGACCCAAAACAGACCTTAGAGTGACCCAAAACAGACCCCAGACTGACCCAAAACAGACCTCAGAGTGACCCAAAAGAGACCTTAGAGTGACCCAAAACAAACCCCAGAGTGACCCAAAAGAGACCCCAGAGTGACCCAGAACAGACCCCAGAGTGACCCAAAACAGACCCTGAACTGCCCTGTCCACCACCCTGGGGACGTGGGACAGCCAGGAGTGACCCAGAGTGACCCAAAACAGACCCCAGAGTGACCCAAAACAGATCCTGGAGGGACCCAAAACAGACCCCAGAGTGACCCAAAACAGACCCCAGAGTGACCCAAAACAGACCCCGAACTGCCCTGTCCACCACCCTGGGGACGTGGGACAGCCAGGAGTGACCCAAAGTGACCCAAACCAGAGCACTAAACCAGCCCCAGACTGACCTAAAACTGAGAGCCAAACCAGCCCCAGACTGACCCCAAACTGCCCTGTCCCTGCTGCTGCCCACTGGCCTGGGGGGACTGACCCCAAAATGACCGAATGACCGCTGACCTGCTGTGGGTGCCGGTGCCCCCCATGTGGAAGGTGCCACCCCTCTGCACCGCCAGCCGCGTGTACTGAACGCCGCGGTTCCCGCTGAGCCGGCTGGTGAACGCTGCGGGGACAGGGACAGGACAGCGGTGTCACACAGCAGGGACATGGAATGGACTGGGGACACCGGGGATGTGTCACACAGCAGGGACATGGAATGGACTGGGGACAC